CACACACACACACACACACACACACACACACACACACACACACACACACCCCAGGAAATGGACAAAAAAGCAATAATGAAAAAGGTGTGTACATGTGCTTTTCATGAACACTTGCACGTGTGGGATGAAACACAACCCGAAGGAGATGCATTAACACTCAGACAACAGAACCCGATACTAAGAACGTAATGACGTATTATGTATATAGGAGTGGGGGCCAGGCGAAGGCTTATTTTAACAATCATTTAATATGCCACTGCAAAACCAGCTACCATCAATAAACCACCAGCTTTCAGGAATGTGTAAACTCACAAAGGATTTGGACTCTCTCGGGGCAGCAGCTTTTGCTTTTTCTAACAAAACCCACAAACTGCTTTTTAATACGCAGCACACAGTGTGTAAACAGGAGGGAAGCTCTGAACTTCAAGCATTTTGAATCCTGGAGGGTCCAATTTTACCACAGTGACATGTCCAGACTGATAATCAGGCCTGTATGAATGAAATATACCAACCAAGCATGCAAAAATAACCTGCCAGATGAGCAACTTTTTTACCAATTAACATCCACCAGGTTACAATTAACGAGGGGCAGGGCTGGGTTTTGTTTTAGCTACGTGCTAAATAGGTCGATTTTCAGAACTACTTCACATTAACCAAACTCAAATCATAGACGAGTGCAGAGGTTGCCAAATGGTGTGACAAGATAAGTCCAGGCATGCTTTGGGGTTTTTTACGATAAGCATATATTATTATTGCAGCATATGACTGCATAAAAAATTTAGGGTTCCCTAAAACTGTTTTAGGGACGATGTTGAATTATGAAAGTGTGACACATCAAAATATCTGGCATCACGTTAATGCAAGTGCAAAGAACATAGCACCTAAAAATGTAACCAAAAGAAGAACTGGCGATGTCAGCAGGCCTCACTCTGACAGCTCATCAGTCAGGAGACGCTAACTGAGAAATTCTTATTGACTTAATTGACTCGAGTGTTGGATCTAAACCACAGGCATTAAGACTGTTTTTAACTGTGTGAAGCTGTTTGATAGCGGGATAGACAGAAGGTGTAGGTGGAAGGTTATATTGGGGTGCTAGTTGCAGATGTTGCAAATGGGCAAAAGTACCCCCATCCGACATTACAGTCAAAAGAAGCATTGAAAACCACGTTGAAAGCCACTGTGCTGGTGGATGTTAAGAGGAAACTGTGATGGGATAAAATAAAAGACTGTATATAAAAAGCTTGCTGAATCTACTGTGATCGGTGGTTTGATGACTGAAGTGACCACATTTGGATGGTATGGTGGAGTGCTAAGTTATTAGCCACATTAGCAATCTTCATTACCAAGGCCCATCAACAGTCTAGGGATGTTATTTAGTGATAACATATCAAATAAAAGGGCATAATTGCACTCAAAACTTCTGTTAGTACAATTAAAAACACAGTAACCCATGCTGTTTGTTAGAAAAACTTGATAAAAAGCTGCAAAAGTTTCCAACATGGTCATCATTTCCAGTTTAGTTACTTGAATTTGGTTACAGGTGACACCACCTGTAACCAAAGCTGCCACAACCCTAACTTTAAATTTTGTTTTAACTTTACAAGATTGAGACAGAAAAAGGTCAAATTCTTTTACTCTAGTCATAAAGGGGAAAATTGGCTGAAGAGACCAAACTCAAAGCTGTAAACATGATTATTTCTGCTGTAAAGTTGGATATTCTAACATGAGCGTCTATAAGGATTAGCTCTGTTTTGGAGCTACCCTCAAGTGGACATTTGAGGAACTGTAGTTTTTGGTTCTTTCACATTGACTTCAATGAACATATTCCTACAAAGCTTCTTGACAAAGTAGCAGAGAGGATACAAAGTGGGGCAAATGCATGCTATGATCAAGACTAAGAAGCAGCAGAGGACTACTTATATACATGAGGGTAATGAAGAAGAGTAGAAACAGATGGGTAACAAGACACTGCTGATTTCAATCAAAACAATAAGACAGCAGGAGGAAGTAAAACCAGGCACAAAACTCAGCAGACATTTAATGGCCAAACTAAAACACAGAGTAAGCAAGACTAACTAGGCAAATAAATAAACTTAGTGGGAAAGACACAGGAGAATGAGACAGGAAGCACTGAGGGAACAAATGAACTAATACAAACTGGAACCAGGAACCCAAGACTGTAAAGACTATGAAAATATATGAAAAACTAATAAAAAAAACAAAACAAGAGTTAATTAGAATAAAACTCCAAAATACACAGAAACCGTGAGAACAGAATAGGGACCAGGGCACAGACAACAATTTTCTAGGCCTCACAGATTGCAGCCTGATATAAAGTGATAAAAAGCTCACAATTATGAAGATTTTAAAGTTTAATGGCTGCTAGCTCTCATATGAGATCGTGTGGGTGTCATTTCAACATTTTGCATCATTTTCTGCACATAAATCTTGTGATCTACCTGTGAGAGGGTGAGCCGACTGCCAGCACGCTTGTGGTATTTATTTGGGCTCTCGAACTGAAGGTCCTCCCACCGAATCCTCCACAGCATTCCTGCCAGTTCCTTCTCCAGCTTCAGTTTCCTGCAGAAAGTAAAAAAGCAGGTGGTGAAATCGACAAGGTCACGGCAGCACAAACAACAGGAGAACTAGACTGGTTTGGGGTTGATGCAAAGGCCATGAGGTGATGTTTTCACCACAAAGCTACACCAGCTGGAACTAAAGCAATGATTAAAAGTCCGTCGGAGCCAAGGTGGTCTGCAGGAGAATTATAAGTTATTAAGCAAGCTGGATTTAATCTCGCAAGTCACCTTAAAACAAAATGCAAATTAACTCCATTTGTTACGTTTGATCTCTGTCTTTCCTGTTGGTATTTCCTGAGATAGCGGTCTCAGATGTGATTACAGAATGCCTCACATACAGCATTTACGTGAAGTTATGTACATTTGGTGATGCATTTAGGCCTGTGTTTATTTTTATTAGATTTTAACTTTACTGGCTCATATGCTCTACTTATTGACGCTTGGCAGTGAGGCACTATTTTAGGGGAAGTATCTTGACTCTCCTGAACAAAGGGCTCTTTCTTCCAAGCAAAATACAGAAACATGGAACATTTGACAGTAAGCACCCAAACTGCTATTTAGTGAAATCAACTGAGCATGAAGTTAATGTAAATATAAGTTCAAAAATGATTTCTTTAAAAGGATTGTCACACTGCACATTGTCCTTAGTTTTCCTTTGGGTCACTTTTTATGATGCCTTCTGTCTCGTGGGCCTTTCAGTTACTTCCTGTTCTATTTTGAACGTTATTCCCTCGTCTAGCTTACTTTTTTCTTAACTCCCTGTCTCTGTTCTTTTCCCACCATTGTTTTTGTCTAATTAAGCTTACTTTTGCATTTTATTTCCCTGAACTGTGTTTGTTCCTGCAGTGCACTCATTAGGGAAAACAAATTTCCGAGTGGAAAAATTCACACAAACCAGAGTAAGAGCAAGAGGAAATCTTGGGTTGCTGAGTTGATGACAGATAAATGTACATATTTGCATAATCATAAGAAATTTTAGATTAATGTTAAAAATTCATGTATTGCATAGAAATGTTTTGCTTATGTTTGATAATAAGAGTACAATAGAACAAAAGAGTACATGAATGCAGGGTTCGCACCGTTCCTCTTTTTTTGTCATTTGGTGAAGTTGTCAACTTTTTGTCTTATGTATTTCTCACATTTGGGTTTCCTAATAACCTTGTTGAACTTTTATTATATTTCCTTGTTACAGCCACCTTCCTACTGCACCTTTCACATTAATCTTGGCAACATTTATGTTACTTTAAATTTTGGAAAGTCCCCTTTCCCTCTCTGTCTCACAACCCTCATGCTTAACCAGGCTATTTTAGCAGCTAAAATCACCGCATTACATTTAGAACAGGAATGCTTCACTTGATAGCTAATAAAAAATAAAATAATTTATTTGTGACTGTCATTCCTTAAACAGTTTAAATTATGTTTAAGTAAAAAGGAGTTAACCCAATATGTCTGAGTTTGTTGAGCTATCTTCATAGTTACTTTGGTCATTAAGTATCTGCCTCGAGGCGTCAGCCACACAACCTTTTGCTTCTCTAGGTGCGTTAGCCATTGTTCACTGCAAAACTACATAAAAAATATTTCCAGGGTCAGAAAAGATCCCAGATAACTTGCAGTTATCTTTGCCACACTGATGGCAAACTATGAAAAGTTTGGTAGGTAAATAACAAATTCATGGTGGGAAATATTTTTCAATTAAGGTCTAGAAACCTGTCTGTACTTCCTGATAACCAACAGTCATTAGGCAAAAACCTATATTCCCCAACCAGTTGCCAAGTGGTTGCTGAAGGTAAAGTCGGTTGCAGTCCTTGCAATTAGTTTTATAGCTAGCAGATTATCTAGGCCTGTTCGACTGATAGTGTTGAGAGTGTCACAATAGTACATATATATATATATATATATATATATATATATACAGCAGTCACTTGAAGGTTAATCATCAATCAATGTCGACTATATCTTCTACTTCAAGTAATGGTACAGTGCTTTGCAAATTTCTTGGACCACCTTTAGAAATCTGTCAAAAGCCTGCTTAAAACAAAAAATTACTTAATTCGCTGAACTGAATCTTTATACCCAAATTTGATCCGGCACACTTGACTTCTCTGACAAGTCAGAAAATAAGCAAGCATAACATTAAACCACTAAAACTATGTTTTCTGTTCAGGAATGCAAGTAAATAATTGTAATTTGGCATCTTAATCAAAAGTTAATGTGTTTTACTAATCTGTTTCTGATTTTTTTTGTGAACCAGTAAAGTTTAAAATCATTGATAAAAACATCTTTCAGAATTTAAAATATGCTGATTAAACAGCTCGCACATACTGGTGGATTAACCATTACAGGAAAAAAAGAATTAATTTTTTTTAGTTACCAATAATTTAGGGCAGCTATGTCATAAACCAGCCATTATATTGGTTGGTAGAATCCACTTCACTCTTTTATTTTTTTTACTCCCTGAATTTCAAGCCATAACTGTACTTTAGTACTACTACTGTTTCCAACTCTGTTTTTTTTTAAAGAACTATAAAAGTTAAGGTCTCCTAATGTTACTCTTCAGACCAGTTAAACACACTAGGGTTAAGAGCTTTAGACTAAATGCAACTTACAGTATTTTACAGTTGTTTTGGCTCAGCGTGAAAAATCTTTTAATTAATTTATGCCTTATTCAACTGAATTAATGGTAATGTTTAACCGAGCATCGTAATGTTGCAGTTCACCGAAGGGGGTTATCATAGAGTACACTGAAATCATGACTTCTGGCATTTAAAACAGTAAAAGCCTCACACAGTAAGCCACGATGTATACCACAGAGCTCAGTGAGACATTATGAAGTGGAAACAGCATTTGTGGTGATTACCAATCATCTTAAATTGTTGCTCACCTGGGTAAAGTTAAAATAATGGCACGGTCTGTCCAGGCTTCCCAGTAATAATCATTTAAAGTGCATTAGCTACTAAATCATACCAACCAAGCTTTAGTGTCCTGCCTTTTGTGGTTCATAATAGGAGTGTGGCAAATCAGCCCGTCTCTTTGAATTGCCAGTTTTGGATACTGAATTGCTGTGATAAAGCTAAAGCAACTGAAAAACAGGGTCAAGTGTTCAGTGAAGAAGATACAATCACTGATCATCATCCAGAAAGGTATTTTATGTATGCAATAAATATGTGGTGATTTCTTCTTTCCCTCGTGTCCTGTAGTCTTGGCTATCGGCTAAAACAGAGCTTGAGCCAATTCTTTTATTTATTTAAACACTGATTAAAGATGTATTTGACACAAATAAGAGCTGCAGCCTACTTAACTGACACTGCCTATTTCTTGCAAATGACTTGATCCAAATACTGAAATCCTGCAGGGTTTTTCCTGGCTGAGAATAGGCGAGCGCCCCTGGAAGCACAATCAATCTGTGTACAGTAAAGGCAATGAGTTTGTGTCATCTTAAAATGTCTCAAATCTATGTTTTCAGGTTATTTTTTTTTAAAAAAGAGTGTCCAGTCTGTTTGACTACATGAAATTTTCAAAAGAAATCCTCTGTCAGAAATGCTATAAACATCTCTATGCATGTAGAAAAAGACTCTGTCCTGGTGCAGAAATGCACTATAAATTAAAGCTTAAATAGAGAAATAAATCCTAAAATTACTTCTCTGTTGTTCTGTCTCTGATTTGTCAAAGCACTATAAATTATGTATTGATCTATTAATAACAATATTGATACAATATTTTGATATACTTCTACTACGAGTATACAAAGGCAGACAGGCAAACAGATTACTAAAAGAGTCGATTAAACAGAGAGCCAAACATGAAAGTCACATGAGAAACATACAATTAAAAAGTATGATTTAATTTTAAAACAGTGAAAAACTAAAATTAGACAAAACAGCTGCAAGCTGATAACCATATAACCAGATGTAAAGTCATCACATACAAGCAGGTCTATAAAAATGAGTTTTAAGAAGGGATTTAAAGGAAGCCAGTGAATTTGCTAGCCTTATCTCCTCAGCCAGGCTGTTCCAAAGCCGAGGGGGCCTGATAGCAAAAACACGGACACCTTTAGATTTAAGCCAACTGAGGATCTAAGGGCTGCAAAATAGTTCATAGGCGGGTCATCATTTATGCTCTGCAGCGTGAGGCCAGACCCATACGTGCTCTAAAAGTGATCAATAAAATCCTAAAATCAGTTCTAATACGAAGCGGAGACCCCGGAGAGAAGCAATGATTGAGATGATGTCATTTAAATGTTAGAACCAGTAAGAAGCTGATCTGCTGCTTTCTGAACCAGCTGGAGGTGAGACAGACTCTTGGTTTACGTCAGATAGGAGGGAGTTGAAACAGTCAAGCCTATTATTAAATTACTCCTGGATTAATAAGCAACAGATGGCCTGTTGTTGAAGCCTGTTGTCTTCCCCCCTTGGTTAACCTAAATTCTTGACTCCAACCAGTCTTCTTCTGTGGTGCCTAACATGACTCAAGTTTGTGCTACACATAACCAGAAAGCTTTCTTTTCATATATACTCAAGGAAAGATCATGCTTTGGGTTAAGAAACACCTTTCCAACCACATTGTTGCTTTCTGCTCTCAGAGTAGAAAGGTGCCATAAACAAGTCCATTTACTGTGTTCCATTTTATAAAGCCAGTCAGGCCAGCGTTAAAGACAAGTTTCTTTTATTTGAATAACAACCTCAATTATGAGAGTAGAGCACTTTAGGAAAGACTATCTAAAGGGACAACAAAGCAACATGATTGCTTTCCAAAAGACAGGTTTAATGACCAAACCAAATGAAGGCTTTGTGCTACACTGGTCATCTTTGTACACCGTAAAATTTAATAAGCTGGCTTTCCTTAAAAAATAATGAAAATTCATTCACTTAAGAAATTCAAATTGTCCTGGCAACCACCTGTCACTGGGGAAAAATGATTAAATACCAACCAGCTGTAATTTGTTGCTGGTGATTTCTGGCAGTCAATTACTGGTGTAATTGGTTGCTGTACTAAAAACCACCT